TTAAGCTAAGAAAGCAGTAACAGGAAAATAATGGGAAAATCCCCAAATACATGGAGATTAAACAACACACTTCTAAATAACACAAAGATCAAAAAAGAAATCAAGAGAGATTTAAAATGAATTCAAACTAAATAAAAATAAAAACACACTCATCAAAAGTTGTGGGATGCAGCAAAAGCAGGGTTTAGGGGGAAACATAGCTTAGAATGTATTATTAGAAAAGAAAGAACTAAAATCATATAAGTACTGTGTCCTAACCAGTTGTACCACTGGACCTCCAAGAACTAAAATCAATAATCTAAGCTTGCAACTTAGAAAAGTAGAAAAAAGAGCCAATTGAATCCAAAGTAAGAAGAAAATAAATAATAAGAATTAGAGAAATCAATGAAACTAAAAACATGAAATCAACAGACAAAAATCAAGGAAACCGAAAGTTTGTTCTTTGAAATGATCAATAAAATAATGATCTTCTAATCAGGCTAAAAAAAAAAAAAGAAAGAAAGAAAAAAGACACAATTAATATCAGAAATGAAAGAGGGACCATCACTACAGATCCCATGGACATTAAAAGGATGATGAAGAAACATTATCAAACCTATGTCCATAAATTTGATAACCTAGATAAAATGAACCAATTCTTTGAAAGGCAATTTGCCAAAACTCACACAAGAAAAAACAGACAATCTAAATAGACCTACATCTACTTAAAAATTTTGAATCAAAATTAACATCCTTCTGAAACAAAAAGCATCAGGCCCAGATGAGTTCACTGATAAATCCTACCAAACATTTAAGGAAGATATACCAATTCTCTACAATCTCTTTCAGAGGACAGAAAGACAGGGAATACCTGCTAACTCATTCTATGAGGCTAGCATCACCCTAATACCAAGACCAGACAAAATTATTAGTAGAAAGACAGTTCCCAGGTCACACAGGTTCAAGTACGTCCACACTACACCATGCCCATACTGCCCCCCACCACACATCTAATGAGGTACTATATACATCACCAGCCTTGCCAAGCTTTTTCCCATCTTCTTACAAATAATCATTTTTTTCCCAAAAAATTCAGGCAAAGAAAAGGAAGAGGATGTATTAAGAGAAAGAAGTCTTTTAATGAATTGGCTGTCACATCCTAATATGTCAAGCAAAGGATTTTTTATAGGCTACAGTTATATTTATACAGTTTAGGTTTCCACATTAATAAAGATCAAACTTTATAGATCTTTAGAATTGTAAAATTTTACGATTTAAGGTTTTGAGGAACTTCTTTTAGATTTCTGTTCTAAACAAAGGTTCTAGCACAGCACTGTCCAGTGAAATATAATGTGAGCCACAATATAAAATGTTCTAGTGGTTATGTTAAAAAACAGGAATTTTGGCTAGGTGTGGTGGCTCACACCTTTAATCCTAGCACTTTGGGAGGCCAAGGCAGGTAGATGACTTAAGGTCAGGAGTCCGAGCCTAGCATGGCCAACATGGTGAAGTGCCGTCTCTACTAAAAATATAAAAATTAGCTGGGTGTGGTGGTGGGCGCCTATAATCCCAGCTATTTGGGAGGCTGAGGCAGGAGAACTGATTGAACCCAGAGAGACGGAGGTTGCAGTAAGCCAAGACAGTGGCACTGCACTCCAGCCTACGCGTTAGACCGAGACTCTGTCCTTAAAAAAAAAAAAAAAAAAATTTAACGTTACATTTAACTCAAAATATTATAAATAGTACCATCTTGACACATAATCGATGTTTTAAAAATTGAGATATTTTACACCTTTTTCTGTATTAAGTAAATTTGAAACTCTGGTGTGTAGTCTACACTTTAAGAACATCTTGTTTCAGAGAGCCACACTGCAAGCACTCAACAGCACATGCAGCTAATGGCTGTAGTCCTGGACACTGGAGTTGGAGGAGGAGAAATAGAAAAAGTGTCTCCAGAGCATGTACATCATGGCACAACATACGGTATTTGGAGAAAAAATATATTTATAAAAAATAAAAAAATCTATATACATAAACACATATGCTATGATCTGAATGTTTGTGTCTCTCCAAAATTCATATTGAAACATGAAGCATAATCCCCACTATGGCAATGTTAAGAACTGGGGCCTTTAGAAGGTCATAAGGTGCCAGGCGCAGTGGCTCACGCCTGTAATCCCAGCACTTTGGGAGGCCGAGGCAGGCGGATCACAAGGTCAGGAGACGGAGACCATCCTGGCCAAAGTAGTGAAACCCCTGGGGGTGGTGGCGCGTGCCTGTAGTCCCAGCTACTTGGGAGGCTGAGGCAGGAGAATTGCTTGAACTCGGGAGGCGGAGCTTGCAGTCAGCTGAGATCGTGCCACTGCACTCCAGCCTGGCACCTGGCAACAGAGCAAGACTCTGTCTCAACACAAAAAAGAAGGTCATAAGGTGATGAGGGCTCCTCTCTCATGAATGGGATTTATGCCCTTACAAAACAGGCCTGAGGGAGCCTGTCTGCCCCATCAAACGAGTACAAAGAAGGTGCCACCTATGAGGAATAAGCCTGCACCGGAAACCATATCTGCTGGCGCACTGATCTTGGACTTCCTTGCCTCCAAAACCATGAGCAGTAAGTTTCTTTTGTTTATAAATTATCTAGTCTAAGGCATTTTGTAATAGCTGCAAGAATGGACTAAGACAACACACATCCCAAAATGGTTACAAATTTGGGGTTGAATGAGTTAACGAGAATTTCCACTTTGTACATGATATACTTCCATGTTCTTTGAAATCTTTGATAGCCAACATGTACTTATTACTTATATAATTTAAAAATACACCATATGTGTTTATGTCCACACATACACACCCATACCCACTTACCCCCATACACACACATCTAATGATGTACTACATACATCATTAGAGTCTTGCCAAGACAATTTCTGCAGAAATTAACCCCTTGGAATGGGTAGCATGCTCTTCTGATCCTAAGTACCGGAAGGATAAAGATGTTTCCAATGTCCTATCTGGGATAGGGGCAGAAAATGCCGTAGAATTGAGAGTCTGATGACTATACCATACCAAGTAAATTAACCACAAAAAAGAGTCCTTCCTAGCCACAAACTGCACTGTCAAAGATTCCACAAAAAAGTGTGTCTAGAAAAACCCATCTCTGTGATAAAAAAAGATCCTCAGGTAAGTATATATTCTCAAACTAGACACAAAACTTAAAACAAAAAAAAGCAGTGACAGGAAAGACACAATCCAAAGGACAGTACATTTCCCAAGTTACCTGTCTCAGCACAGCCAGGAAGCAGGGAGGGAAGGCAACATGCAGGCTGTGAAGGCGTGGGGAAATCTGATTGAACTATTTAACTTTCTTTTTGAACTCCAGATTTAATTTGGTGAAAGCTTACTGTGATTAAAAAGGGAAATTTTCCAGCCAGGCGCAGTGGCTCACGCCTGTAATCACAGCCCTTTGGGAGGCCAAGGTGGGCAGATCACAAGGTCAGAAGATCAAGACAATCCTGGCCAACAAGGTGAAACCCTGTCTCTACTAAAACACAAAAAATTAGCTAGGTGTGGTGGCATGTGCCTGTAGTACCAGCTACTTAAGAGGCTGAGGCAGGAGAATTGCTTGCACCTGGGAGGCGGAAGTTGTAATGCGTCAAGATTGCAGCACTACACTCTAACCTGGGTTACTGAGGAAGAGTCCATCTCAAAAAAAAAAAAAAAATGTAACTTTTCCTAATCTTAAACATCTGAAATAACTTTTACTTCCCCTAAATCACTGATCACTGCCAAAGTGATCCAGGTACATCCAGTGTTCCCAAAGTCTGGCGTCTGAAGCAGGACATGTTCTATGGGCTGTTTTCCACACATTGAGTATTTTGGCTCTCAGTATCCTTAAGTTTCTATTCATTAAGAATATTTTAGGGCAGGCATGGTGGCTCACGCCTGTAATCCCAGCCCTTTGGGAGGCTGAGGCGGGCAGATCACCAGGTCAAGAGATTGAGACCATCCTGGTCAACACAGTGAAACCCCATCTCTAATAAAATACAAAAATTAGCTGGGTGTGGTGGTGCGCACCAGTAGTCCCAGATACTCGGGAGGCTGAGTCAGGAGAATTGCCTGAAGCTGGAAGGCAGAGGTTGCAGTGAGCTGAGATCACGCCACTGCACTCCAGCCTGGCACCTGGCGAAAGAGCAAGACTCTGTCTAAAAAAAAAAAAGAATATTTTAATGCTATAATAAAGATTTGGAAAAAATCTTCTTAAATAAACCTTTATTCTCACACCAATGGTCCGATCTAAGTTATAAAAGGAGGCTTATTCAAAATATTCCTGTATTGGCCAGTAATTACAGAAATGAAAGCATTAGTATGTTCACATGAGAAACATAATGAAAAGAGAGCCTATCTTCTTATATTATCTATCAACTTATAGTATCTACTTATATCCAATACTATGTGATTAGACCAGACAAAAAATAGAGTCTATGATTGTTTCTATTTTACATTTTACCTTAGTACATAACACAGATTTCTGATCAGTCTTTGAATTTAGGTTCTACAAATATGCAATAAAGATAGCTTCATGAGAATAAAGCTACCAACCAGAAGAATATAACATTTTGCTGACATTTCACTACATCTGCCATAAATATTCAAGTTGCTTGCTATGAAGTCAAATAATACACAAACCAAGTAGTTGTTTAATGAGGGCAAAAGTACCTGAAGTTTTCAATTACTTTAAAAATTAAAAGCTTAAGTACCCCCAACTTGAAAAATTAAGTTTCTCTAATGAAATCTTGTTTCTACCAGGGCTTTTAAGTCACATACAGGATTGAACCTGAGGCTGAGTATATATAAGGAAGCTAGCTAAAATTTTACAATTTTAAGACAGCCAGTTGGATTTACCACAAAAATTTAAATATACTTTTTGAAACAAACAAGACAAGGGCTCAAGTGAAGTGCAGTTATTTGATGCTATGTGTATTTAACAAATAGATAAGATTTTAAACCTGTATAAAGTTTACCTGTATACTAGAATCTCCCTTTATACATTTTGCTCCTTCTATTATAGCCATGTATGAGAATCTCAGTTGATCAGGGGTTTGAATAAGACCCATTCGGTATTTTCTCATGTTCAATAACACTTGTTTAATGTTAATATCATCTCCTTTTTCCATCTGCAAGAAAGGCAAAAATGAGTCAAGTCTTTCGTTTTTGGAACCCAGGAAATAGAATTAAAGCAGGATCATTGCTAAAATTTTTGCTATGCATTTTCTCCTCTGAAAGAACAAGTGTAATTTAACCCTGCAGCTGTAATGCTATTTATACAACTATCCAAACCTACTCATCCCTCCCCACATCTCAATCCCTCAAGCAGTAGATGGAGGAGTTTGATTCTTCAGCTAAGTCACAAGTGATTCAAAGTTAATCACTGCAATATTATTCCTTCTGGCCAGTCATTGGTCAAAGGAAAGATTTATGATTAGTTCTGGCTAGTATAAGGACTTTTTTTTTTTTTTTTTTTTTTAAAGCCATGGCAGGAGTCAACCTTTCTGCTCACTGCCCCTCTGTCTTCTTCATGTCTGCACTACAGACACAATGTCTGGATATACAGCATCCCATCTAAAGATGGTGTAAAAGAGGCCAGGCATGATGGCTCACCCCTGTATTCCCAACACCTTGGGAGGCCAAGGAGGGCAGATAACCTGAGGCCAAGAGTTCGAGACCAGCCTGGCCAACATCTTGAAACCCCATCTCTAATAAAAATTCAAAAATTAGCTGGGTTTGGTGGTGCACACCTGTAATTCCAGCTACTTGGGAGTCTGAGGCAGGAGAATCACTTGAACCCAGGAGGAGGAGGAGGTTGCAGCAAGCCTGAGATCATGCCACTGCATTCCAGGCTGGGCAACAGAACGAGACTATTGCAAAAAAATAAAATAAAGAAAGATGGTGGAAAAGAGAGTCACTAAAAGCCCAAATCCACAATAACACTGCTGAGCTACAGCACTGCCACTCTGGTCTATTGACCTAGTGTTAGAAACCCCAACACATAGGCCCACCAAAAAAAAAAAAAAAATTGATGAAGTAATGGTTGGTAGGGAACAGGCATCATTAACAAAATAATCACCAGAGTTTTTAAACTTTAATGTAACAATTTAATTTTGATTGAAGTATACTATATATACAGAGTGGTAGAGTAATACAGTAGATGTGTTAAGACTCAACCATTCCTAATTCCTAGCTTTCATCAGAGGCACAACATCTGAAATGTTCTACCAATATCATCACTCCATTGATCAAGCTCCTTGTATATGTGTTTACAATGAATAGCATCATCATATTAATTCACCTGAGAGTCTACTTTGTGCTAGCAGTCATGTTGGAAAGCATAAGAATGCTGATATAACTGCAATGAAGCATAGCTAAGTTTTACAGAGACACAGAAGAGACTAATAGAGGGCCTTAAAATCAAGGTGAAGTACATCAGTCTAGTGTCAAGTGTGGTGGCTCACATCTGTAATCCCAGCATACTGGTAGAGTGAGGCAAAGAGGATCACTTGAGCCCAGGAATCTGAGACTAGCCTGGCCAAAATAGTGAGACCCTGTCTCTACTGAAAAAAAAAAAAAAAAAAAAAAAGTAAAAACTAGCTGGATGTGGTAGTGCAGGCAGCTACTTGGGAGGCTGAGGTGGGAGGATTGCTTGAGTCCAGGAGGCTGAGGCTGCAGTAAGCAGTGATTGCACCACTGCACTCCAGCCTGGGTGACAGAGCAAAACCCTGTCTCTAAACAAAAAAAAAATCCTCACCAGCCTGACTACAAGACAAGCTAAATTGCCTAGGTTACTGATAATCTTAGAACATGCTCAGAAAGCAGGAACTAAGCTACAGGGACTACTGAAGGAATAGATGGCATGGAAATCAAGGCAGATAGTATTACTGGTGGGTTTGATTCTGTAACAAAAGGAGGAAGAAAGAAGACAGAAGTTAGAAGAAGTACAAGGGCAAACAGAAGTTCCATATATCCAACGTAAGAAAAAAATAAAGGTCCTAAAAAGAGAAGAAAAGATCTAGACTGTATAAAGGCTGGGACTGGGAATGATTAGTGGAGAATCAGCCCTTGGGGGCACAGACAGGAACCTCCGGGGAGTAACAGTAACACTGCCATTTATGGAATGCTCAGAAAACAGGGACTCTTCTAAGTGTCCTAAATGTATTAATTCATTGAATTCTCTCAGCAACCCTGTGAAGTATGTCTATCATTATCCCTAGTTTTTAAATTAAAGAATTAGAAAGTAGTTGTCTAAGAAGAAATTCAATGTTACATATGAATTTATATTTGAAAAAATGGGGAGGAGGGACCTATTATTTCTACATTACAAAGCTACTAGGAAGAAAAACATCTTCTTCGGGATCTCTAAAATCATCTTGGATACATTCCCAACAGTCATGAATAAGAGGCAGTTGCAAGGGTAGAAATGAGATTTTTAGGTTTCTCCAAAAGAAGTTTAAGTTGAAAAACCTCAGTTCTGGGATACATCAGAGCTTATTCCTTGCTAGCGGAAACTATTTTTTTAAAAAATCAATGAGATTAAAATGAGAGCATAAGAAGCACTTACCAAAACAAGACAAGTGTCTACCAGAGAGAAGGTGCCAGAGCGCCCAATGCCTGCACTACAGTGGATCACCGCAGGCCCGTGGTCGGGGTTCAAGGAGCCAGATTCTCTCACTTTAAACAAGAAATTGAGAAATGAAGCTGGTGATTCAGGGACTCCAAAATCTGGCCAGGTAGTATAATGAAAGTGAGATATTGTTCTGGTTTCACCACTCTAAAAAGTGAAAATCAAGGGAGGAGAAGTTAGTTCTAATTTTTTTCTTTTAAAAAACTACTTCAGAAAGATCATGGGTTTTGTGTAATCCTTTTAAGCCGAAGGGATGTTTACACAATGATTTTTCCATTTCTTTTCTGACAATCCCATATACAAATTAGGGAAGATTTTCTTTAGTGGAAATTTGGGATATATTAATAATAGCTAACACATACAACACTTATTATTTTGGAGGCCTGTTCTAAGCAGTTTACTTATTAACTCAACCCACACAATAATCCTATTAAAACCTATTTTTCAGATGAGGAAACTGAAACAAAGGGTAAGTAGTTTGCCCAAGGTAACATAGCTGGAACATGGCACAACCAGGATTTGAAGCAGCCTGGGGCAGCCTTTGGCTTCTCAGCTACTAATCTGTACCATACACATTACCAATATTTTCTTTAGTTCTGGCATGAGTGGGCTATTTTTTTCTATTTTAAAAATTGTCTACCAGTGTAATTTTACATTAATGTGTTCCTTTTTATGAATTTCAAAGTTTATTTTTTAAATACAATCTCTCATTTACATGATTTATCTTTTAGATTCTGCTACACAGGCACAGAGGAGCAACTCAATAATTAGTCTAAAGAAACAATCTTTATATTTTTAATTGGAATTGTTCCTCTAATTGTTGCCTTTCCCCTATGGCAATAATTTCCAATCCTAAAGCTGTTTGTATGCCTTTGCTGATGTGCTAAGATGGTTTACCAACATGCTAAATGTTTCCTGTCTCTTAAGCCTGCCTGGCATTCACTATCTCTTCCTGGATATTCCTGATGATTTGAATTTCTAACTCATTATGAAAACGTTCCTTAGCTTTTTGCCAATTGCCTTTTGCCCCAAGGAGCACTTCTCTGCTTTATACTCTTCATTTGTGTAAACGAAGCAGTGGTCTTTCACTAATACCTCTTTGTGCAATTTTTCAGTTTTATTGTAGGACTTTTTTTTTTCAGGGAGGAGGCATAGAAACCACGTAAAAAAACCTTGACATGTTTAATGGTCAACAGCTAAAGATTATTATAATATCCTGCTCCCAATAAAGATTTTCAAAATTAGAAGTTAGCTTTCATTTTAAAAATACATATTTTCCTATTTTGCAGTAGAAATTAAAGACTCCTCAGTCCTAGACTTACTATACTAATAAAATACAGTGAAAAAATATTTTTAAAAGTGCATACTTTCAGTGACCTTTTTAAAACATCCACCCTTAATAATTTCAAATATATTGTGATCCACAAGTTCTCAATATACTAATGCCACTAAAAAATTTCTCCATTACAAATTAAAATGAACAGTTTCTAGATTTCAAGGCATTTCTTTTTAAATTAATTATGCTAAGTGAACAAAGTCAGGCTAAAGGCTATATACTATACTATTCCATTTACATGACATTCTAGAAGGCGGAATCACAGAAACAAAAACCAGATCAGTGGCTGCCTGAGGCTGGGGGTAGAGGACAGGACTGACTGTACACAAGCGGCACAAGAACATCCGGGGCAGAGGAGAGGTGACAGAACCAATCTACATTTCTGTTGTGGGTGGTGGTTACACAAGTGAATGCACTGTCAAGTCACACAATTGTACACTGAAAGGAGTCAATCTTATTGCAGGTTAAAAAAAAAAGGTGAACTAAATTTATTGCGTTAAAAAAGGAAATTCAAAACATTCCAAAATATGAAGGGTAAACGGCTTTCACAAAGCAGCAGTTAGGCAGTTAACAAGGTAATACCGACACAGGAATGGGCTAGAGAGGTGGGTTAACAGTGAGGCGGATACAGTTATCTCAAAGGCTTTTCATTCAAACAGTTATGATTCCAATGGACGTTCATAACCCACTTTGTTTCTTACTTGCTGTGGCCACTGGAAGGACCAGACTCAGTCTGGATGGGCCTTCATGAGGTCCACTCTGAGCAAGGACCTGCAGTGCTCTGTGGGCTGTGGCCCAGCACTCCTGTGGGGTTCTGCACACAATTACGTCATCATGTCCTGGCTCAAACATATGGTTACCCCACAATCTTAGGCGTTGGCTTGCTTTCTCTTTGCTTGGATGATTTTGACTGAAGGCTAGTGGTCTCAATTTTTTTCAAGTTGAGGTCATGCTGCCTGGGATACTGGAAGCCAGTTCCTAGAAATGCTCACGACTATCTGTATAATACAGTCTTTCCACTAATAGATTTTTGAAAATCAGTTGTTTTTTTTCCCCCCTATAGAACCAGGACTTTTTTGACAGGTTGATTTTAATTAATTTATCCTTACAGAAACAAGATTCAAAAAACACAGCTTTCCAAAAATCATGTAATTCACAGTTACAAAGAACCACATGAAGGCATAAGAATCGCATGTTTACTACTCTGGTATAGAAATGTTCATATGCATGGATGGACACCTTTCTCTCTTTTTCATGAAGGAAAAAAAAAAGAGAGCGGGGGAAAAAAAGGTTGCCAAAGGATAGAGAGCTAAAACAAAATTCATCTTTATTCCAAACAAGGTCTGCATTTATACTTTACAATATTTGGCAAACTTATTTTCAAAACTGTGGAAGCACCCTTTTCTTCTCCTTGGTCACCAAGTCACACGAGTTCTCCTCTGGTCCCCAGCTGGCCTCCCCACCCTTCTCGCTGCTTCACCCTACTCCCCACATATACCCAGGTTACACCCACAATTATAGGCAGCCATTCCACACATGCCTGCCAAGTTTCCTGTATAAAACTCTGCATTACGTATACCACATTCTACACAAAATGTCAGTGGCTTGCTGTTCTTTTCAAGGCAAAATCCCATTTACATTTTTAAAAGAGAATTCTAAATTTAAAGTCTTTAAATAGGGATGTCAAACTTGCATATATGAGGCCAGGAGGATAATCTGTGAGTTGGGCAGATGTAACAACAGGAGTTGTTAGGCCACAGCAATTTAAGTGTATGCCCTGTTCACAGCCTTCAAATGCATGTTAATAATCATCATAAATATATAATAAAATTGGCCGGGCGCGGTGGCTCAAGCCTGTAATCCCAGCACTTTGGGAGGCCGAGGCGGGTGGATCACGAGGTCAAGAGATCGAGACCATTCTGGTCAACATGGTGAAACCCCGTCTCTACTAAAAATACAAAAAATTAGCTGGGCATGTTGGCACGTGCCTGTAATCCTAGCTACTCAGGAGGCTGAGGCAGGAGAATTGCCTGAACCCAGGAGGCGGAGGTTGCGGTGAGCCGAGATCGCGCCATTGCACTCCAGCCTGGGTAACAAGAGCGAAACTCCATCTCAATAAATAAATAAATAAATAAAATTACACACTTTCCAATTATCATAAAAAATCTATACAGCTCTATGACCCCAAGCCCAATTACTTTCACACTTTAGGTATATATGGAAGGTACCAAGATTTTGTTTCTAAAAGACTTTCACTAAACCCGTTTTGTCATCTGTAAACAGGGTTAATACTACTACTTACCTTACAAAGCTGTTATAAGGAATAAATGAAACAATTAATGTGAAGCGCCTGCCATATCCCTGCACATGGTAAACGCTTAACAGATAATGGCTATTTGTAAAACAACTATACTTACCAATTGCCTTTACTGTGGTCCCTAGAAAGCTCCAGTCAATTGTAAAATTCAACACATTTTCAACCTCTTCATTGGGTATTTCCTCTACACCTAAACAGTGACAAAGTCTGTCAACCCTATCTCCTAACCAGATGTCAAATCTGTACCTTCACTATCACTGCCTTAGTTGAGTCTCTCATCAATTTTTGTCAGGGTCAGTATTTACTGACTGCAATTCATTGTGAAAGACAGACTGAACTCACCAGATCAGGAGGAGTGGCAGAAACAGCTAGGAGCAGGCCTGCATTCCAAGCAGAGAGAAAGCAATCTGCAAAGGCATGCCATCTACCGTCACCAAGGAATTAACTTATTAGAGAAGTCTGTCTTTTAGCTTGTACAAATGCTGGGTACCCGAAGGAGGAGGTAGACAAGGAGGCAAGGCCCAGGATGAGCTGGATCTTGGTCTTGTGCACTGGACAGAGACTTTTTTGGTAATCAATGGAAGCCACAGAAGGATTCTTAGAGGGTGGAAAGATTGCCATCTGTGTTTTACAACACTCACTCAGGTACAATGCCTTAAAAATGTACTCTGTGCAAAAGCAAGGGAGTACCAAGGCAGCAGGTAATTTCCAACCCCTTGGAAGCTAAAAACCTCATTATGTAGTCAAGATTTATATAGAGAGAAGTACTGAACAAGCCAGTAGAACAGAAAAAGCGTTAAGAAGAATCACAGCTGTTACGAATGAATGTGTCATAGATATATGTTAGGAGAGACCTAAGTAAGAAGTGGGCCACACGGGTTACTGAAGGACATGTAGGATATAAATAGGCAGAGAAAAGAAAGGACATTCTAGGTAGAATAAACTGTTTAAACTATTTTGAACCAAATCCCAGCTGAGCATTATAATAGTCAGACTCATCTTGCTAATCTACAGGGACAGGAAAACAGAAGACAGTCAGCAGTATAACAGTATTCCTGGAACTCACTAAACATAAAGCTGGCCATCAACATTACGGAAATAGTGAAGGGCAACTGAAAACAAAAAACTGAAAGACAAATAAGTATTCTAGATGACCCTATTTTTCAAAACCCCTCAAAATGATCTCCACAGGCCATAAGCCACAGGCCACTTTGAAAGCAGAGATGCATTAAGTAAGTGACTGTAAAGGGCTCCCGGTAGGTCAGTTTGCTGCTCCATTAGACTGGAGGAGGTACAGGGCTTGCTGAGAACATAGCTTTACCTCTGGACTTGTTAACAGACACAAGTCAGACTCCATTAGAAGCAAACTGGTTCTCTGCACCCCAGGGACCTCAATAAAGATAGAGATCTGCAGGCTGAGGTTGGCTATCAGCCCCTACTTCATCATCACTTTCTCTCACTCCCTTGGTTCTTTTCTTCTCTCTTTTCAACTACCTCCCATTCCTATTGTCCCTTCCAATTCATTACTATTACAAAAAGGAAACTGATAAACTAAAAAAGTAATTGTGGCTGCCACATTATGTCTGAAATACTGTCATGATATTAACTCACTTGATTTTTAGAGGAATCCTGTGAAGTAGGTATGTTATTACCCTCATTTTACAGATGATAAAACAAGTACTGTTTATCATTTATAGTAAACTAATGTGACCCAAGTCTGATTCTTAGAGTTTATTTACTTAGGCAAATGTAATTCTACCTTTCATACTGAAATGTTACTTTAGCCTTCTAAAGAATAAAGAATCCCTAGTTCTTAGGAAAAATTATAATGTAGGACACAAATTCTTGCTATTATATTATGGTATGTTCTAAATAAACCCAGGCCAATAAAAAAATCCAGGGATCATGTCATTATACCACACAGTTGCCAGCAACTAAAACACAGCGGCTGGCCAACTCACATGACGGCCTCAACTCCAAAAAGATGCTTCAGAATCGATAATCTCTCTTCACAACAATTGGCATCTTTTCTTTTCTTTTCTTTTTTTTTTTGAGATGGAGTTTTGCTCATGTTACCCAGGCTGGAGTGCAATGGCGTGATCACGGCTCACCACAACCTCCGCCTCCTGGGTTCAGGCAATTCTCCTGCCTCAGCCTCCTGAGTAGCTGGGATTACAGGCATGCGCCACCATGCCCAGCTAATGTTTTGTATTTTTAGTAGAGACGGGGTTTCACCATGTTCACCAGGATGGTCTTGATCTCTTGACCTCGTGATCCACCCGCCTCAGCCTCCCAAAGTGCTGGGATTACAGGCTTGAGCCACTGCACCTGGCAACTGGCATCTTTTCAAAACGACTTATCCCCATGTCAAAAGTTAGGAGATGGCCAGGCGAGGTGGCTCACACCTATAATCCCACCAATTTGGGAGACTGAGGTGGGCAGATCACCTGAGGCCAGGAGTTTGAGATCAGCCTGGCCAACACAGCAAAACCCCAGCAGTACTAAAAATACAAAAAAAAAAAAAAAAAAAATAGCCAGGCGTGGCACTGCACACCTGTAGTCCCAGCTACTTGGGAGGCTGAGACAGGAGAATCACTTGAATCCGGGAGGTGGAGGCTGCAATGAGCCAGGATCATGCCACTGTACTCAAGCCTGGGCAACAGAATGAGACTGTTTTAAAAAATAGAGGGGATCAGGAGAACTAATGAGTTCAGTCTGTCACTTATTAGCTAAGTAATCTATGGAAAAATTCCCGTAACTTAATGGATTTAATATAACTATTCTTTATAATATAAAACATGGGGATAATAAGAATATTTACACTATTCACACTAACTGAAGACTACTGGTCAAATGATATATATGTGAAAGCATTTTGCAACCTGATAAAACACAAAAATTATTTTTTATTATTATTTAAGGTATAATCAATTCTCAGTAAGGACTGTTTCAGAAATAGGGAAATACATCTATGTCCTTCATCTAAATCAATTTTAATGCCATAAGCAAATGAGTTAATTACCTAGGCTAAATACCAAGAGAAGATGATTCAGAGAACTGTGAGAACCTTGTGGAAATACAGTTCTGTTTCTGGGAATAAGCAATGAGCTCATTAGCCATGCGTGGCGGCACACACCTGTAGTCCCAGCTACTCGGAAGGTTGAGACAGGAGAATCACTTGAACCCAGGAGGTGAAGGCTGCAATGAGCCAATGCCACTGCACTCCAGCCTGGGCATTCTGTTTCTGGGAATAAACTCAGTCCAGCATCAAAAAGTTATTGATGTATCTCAATGCAGTTTAAGACACATGTCAATGGAAACAGCTGGGACAAAATAAATATACTAATGGGAATTTATAAATAAATCTTAAGAATTACTATTCCTAATTTTGAGCCTTTTTTTTTTTTGAGATAGTATCTCACTGTGATGCCCAGGCTGGAGTGCAGTGGCACAACTGCAGCTTACTGCAACCTCCACCTCCCAGGTTCGATCGATTCTCCTGCCTCAGCCTCTCAAGAAGCTGGGATTACAGCTGCCTGCCACCACGTCCAGCTAATTTTTTTTCCATTTTTAGTAGAGACAGGATTTCACCATGTTGGTCAGGCTGGTCTTGAACCCCTGACCTCAGATGATCCACATGCCTCAGCCTCCAAAAGTGCTGGAATTACAGGTGTGAGCCACCGTGTCTGGCAATTTTGAGCCTTTTTAGGTGACTCCAGAGACTGCATACTAAGCTTAGTTATAGATGTCATGGGAAGCTGGACAGAAGGAAAACCAGAACCTAGGCCTTACACACACAGCATGCACCTGTGCTTACTCAAGTGCTTACTCAATGTAGCAAAAAACACAAGTGTTCCAAGGGATCAACCATAAAAGGAACTGCCACACATCTAAAAAGCAGGTATATATAACCCTTCTCTTTAAAGCTTTTTTGTGCTGTTAATGATCACTTAATTTACTTAACGGTTAACTAAAACAGTATTTCACTTGTAGACTATATAAATTCCTAAAATCATATTAGGCTAACCAGTTTTCCTATTTTTGAGCTATCATAGTTTCTATTAGCATCTCGGAATTACTCTTATTTCATATTTTCTAGCTTATTCTAATTATAACACAAAGAAGGCAAAAGAGGTAAATGGGAAAAGAGGGAGCAAAGCCTTGGCAACAGCAGGTTCATAACCCATTACGTGTATGTATCTCAACCAAGGCTCAAGGAATAGTTCACATGTTTCTGGGAAAGAAAAACACCAGTAAGGCCTGGCAGGTGGCTCATGACTGTAATCTCAACACTTTGGGAGGCCAAGGTACAAGGACTGCTTGAGCCCATGAATTTGAGACTAGCCTAGACAATAAGGCAAGACCCCATCGCTACAAAAAAAATAAGAAAATTAGTTAGGTGTAATGGCTCATGCCTGTAATCCCAGATACTCAGGCGGCTGAAGTGGGAGGACTGCTTAAGGCCAGGAGTTGAAGGCCACAGTGAGAGCTATGATCATGCCACTATACTCCAGCCTGGGTGGCAAAGCAAGACTGTCTCAAAAAACCAACTAACCAAACAAACACCCAAGTAAATGTTCTTGAGACCACATGCTACATTTATATATGTATATGTACATGTATATATATATATATGTATATACACACACATACATACACACACACACACACACACATATATCACACCATTATATGTATATGTGTGTATATATATGTCACATCATTTTCTCCCAATTCAATAAAGACAAATTCCTGTGTCATGAATCACTTAACAATAGTTTTCTAAGTTATTTTCTTGTTATTTTTTTGCCTGTCACAAGTCCTGGGAGCTACTGCTTCCTGGGTATCTACTGAGGTCAGGTGCTCTGCATACACATCTTCACTTGACTTTCAGGACAGCCCTGGAGGGGGAGGCGTGGTAACCTCCATTTTATGGATCAAGGAAGGGCACAGGGAGAGTGGGGAACAAGTCTAAAGTACACCTCTCCTAAGGAGCAGAGCTGGATTTGAATTCAGGTTTGCCAGATTCTAAAGCCCTCTCTATCAATCCCCATGTATTTCTATTAATTAATTTTCAGCCCTCAAATATCCATTTCAACTTCGAAATTCTTAGTTTCTACTGTTTCTTCAGAGTCTTCAGAAAGCTACTACATGCAGGCACACAAACTAAAAACAAATGATTATGAGTAGATACTACAAGTATTACCCAAATGCATGTGCTTATCAAACTTCAAATCTAGTAATAAATAATTCTTTAAACCATCATATGAAGTCCAGACTTTTGGGCAAGAAAGGTCTTACATTGGTATTTTCTAATTGTAGTAGATGTACTGTATAATACGACTTCACATCTTCTGACAAGAGCTTCACACTGAATCCTGTTTCTTTAAACAGCATCTCTTGGTCATCTGTTGGCCAGTACTGTGCACATTTAACCTAAATTTAGAAATATGTATAGGATTTTTTTTTTTAGTTTATAGATACCATGAAACCATAAAGTTAAAAAATGAAAACAAACCACACATGTACATGCTATATTTTTACAAATACCCAAAACTAGTAAGTCACTAGTATATTCTATGCTTAACACATTAGTAAGATTGAAATTTTATAGCTGGGCGCAGTGGCTCACACCTGTAACTCTAGTCTTTGGGAGGCTGAGGTAGGTGGATCACCTGAGGTCAGGAGTTTGAGTCCAATCTGGCCAACATGGCAAAACCCTGTCTCTACTAAAAATACAAAAATTAGCTGAGTGTGTTGGCGGGCACCCGTAATCCCAGCTACTCGGGAGGCTGAGACAGAAGAACTGCTTGAACCTGGGAGGCAGAGGTTGCAGTGAGCAGAGATCACGCCACTGCACTCCAGTCTGGGTGACAGACCAAGACTCATCTCGGGGAAAAGAAAAAAAAAAGATTAAAATTTTATCTTTTTTTTTTTTTTTTTTTTTTGAGACAGAGTCTCGCTCTGTCATCCAGGTTGGAGTGCAATGGCATGATCTTGGCTCACTGCAACCTCTGCCTCCCAGGTTCAAGCAATTCTCCTGCCTCAGCCTCCCGAGTAGCTGGGATTACAGGCACCCACCAACACACTCAGCTATTTTTTTGTATTTTTTAGTAGAGATGGGGTTTCGCATGTTGGCCAGGCTGGTCTTAAATGCCTGACCTCAAGTGAGCCACCCACCTCAGCCTCCCAAAGTGGCAGGACTACAGGCATGAGCCACCACGTTTGGCTTTATAAAGCATTTTTAAAGTATTCCTGTAACTTATACACTAAAAAAGCCATAATAGATATACTCATTAAATAAAAATTTATCATTTTTAAAGCATGATTACCTATGTTTTAACATCATAAAATTATCAAACCCTTGCAACAATTTTATCTTCAAAATAAATGTGGCCGAAGAGGTTTTATTTTACAAGTATTTTCCATAAATACCTATGAATCTGCTACTCAATATTCCATCTAGGGCCAGGCACGTGTGACTCACGCCTATAATCCTAGCACGTTGGAAGGCTGAGGTGGGCGTATCATTTAAGCCCAGGAGTTTGGACTGGGCAACATGGTGAAATTCAGCCGGGGCAACATGATGAAATCTTGTCTCTACGAAAAATGCAAAAAATAGCCGCGTACAGTGGCGCACCCCATAGTTCCAGCCACTCAGGAGTCTGAGTGGGAGGATGATCTGAGCATGGACAGACGAGGCTGCGCCACTGTCCTCTAGCCTGGATGACAACACTGAGACCCAGTCTCAAAACAAACAAACAAAAAATGACATCCAGAAATAACATTATGTATTTGCTTACTAAAATTAAAGTGGGGGAGAGAATGAGAAGATAAGCCCCTTTTACCTAGAGTAGCTACATTTGGCAGAACTATTGATAAAAAATCTGTGACAATAAACACATCTTCCCAAATGCCAAAGTATGAAGCCAGCAGACTGAAGCAAGGTGAAATAGTCATTTCACTAAGAAAAAAACACCAGAAAAAGTTATTTTTAAAAAATTGCCATTTCTCTTTTTTCCAATTCACAAACAGCTACAGATGAACAATAAAAATTTCTCCAAAACCAATAACTACTATGATTAATACTTTAAAAGGTGCTAAAAGACAAATAAATGATATAAGAAGCAAAAGAATATAAATAAGAATTAGAACAACTCAGAAACAAGGTGACAGAAGATAGAAAAGTTCAAATAATAGAACACATCATTTCAGAAATGAGGATTAAACTAGAAGGAAAAGAGGAATAAATATAATAGATAATAAAGCCTTAAGAGGAAAAGGAAGATTTTTTTTTTTAAAGAGACAGTCTTGCTTTGTAGCCTAGGTTGGAGTGTAGTGGGTAACCTTGGCTCACTTCAGCCTCAAGCAGTACCCCAACCCCAGCTGGGACTCCAGGTGCATGCCACTATGCCTGGCTACTTTTTTGTACTTTTTGTAGAGGCAGGGTCTCACTTTGTTTTTCAGGCTAGTTGCAAATTCCTGGGCTCAAGTGATCCTCCTGCCTCAGCCTCCTAAAGTGCTGGGATTATAGGTGGGGGCCTTCAAACTTGGCCAGAAAAAAAAAAAATTAGATAAAACAGAAATAAAGAGAGAGATGGATGGGCAAGGTGGCTCATGCCTGTAATCTCAGCACTTTGCATGGCCGAGGTGGGTGGATGACAAGGTCAGGAGATAGAGACCATTCTGGCTAACACCATGAAACCCCATCTCTACTAAAAATACAAAAATTAGCCAGGTGTGGTGGCGCATGCCTGTAGTCTCAGCTACTTGGGATGCTGAGGCAGAAAAATCCACTGAACCTGGGAGGCGGAGGTTGCAGTGAGCCAAGATCACACCACTGTACTCCAGCCTGGGCGACAGAGTGAGACTTGGTGGAAAAAAAAAAAGAGAGAGAGAGAGAGAGATAAACAGGATTAGAAAGAATGTGACAAATAAAATAGGCAAGGAAAATCCAACACATGTCTAATAAATAGGAAGACTCAAAGAACACTAAAGCAAGCAAGGGAGCAGAACAAATACTAAGGACTGTAATTCAACAAATATTTCTTTTTTAAAAAAGTATTTAAAAAATAAGAGGGCCGGGCGCGGTGGCTCAAGCCTGTAATCCCAGCACTTTGGGAGGCCGAGGCGGGTGGATCACGAGGTCGAGAGATCAAGACCATCCTGGGCAACATGGTGAAACCCCGTCTCTACTAAAAATACAAAAAATTAGCTGGGCATGGTGGCGCGTGCCTGGCATCCCAGCTACTCAGGAGGTTGAGGCGGGAGAATTGCCTGAACCCAGGAGGCGGAGGTTGCGGTGAGCCGAGATCGCGCCATTGCACTCCAGCCTGGGTAAAAAACTCCGTCTCAAAAAAATAAAATAAAATAAAATAAAATAAAATAAAATAAAATAAAATAAAAAATAAGAAAAAAGTATTTGAAGTCGAACACTCAAGAAGGCATCATGTACCAGGAAAAACTGACCCAGAATGACCGATCACTAAGACATATTTTTGGTAAAACTAATATCAGAAAAAAAAAATTATTTGAGTAGTGTAGGTAGAAAGAACAAGAGACTTACAAAGGAAATAAAATAAGATGTCCATTAGACTTTGGTGGAATACCAGAAGGAAATGGAAAAATGTTTATGTTGTTCAAAGAATAGCACGTGAGCCAAGTATTTTATATCCTGGCAAACTGACTTTCAGATATTACGACAACAAATGAACCATCACTGACATGTAAAAAAATCAGAGATGCTGGGTACGGTGGCTGATGCCTGTAATCCCAGCACTCTGGGAGGCCAAGGTGGGTGGATCACCTAAAGTTGGGAGTTCAAGACCAGTCTGACCTACATGGTGAAACTCTGTCTCTACCCAAAATACAAAAAATTAGCCGGGCGTGGTAGCACATGCCTGTAATATCAGCTACTTGGGAGGCTGAGGCAGGAGAATTGCTTGAACCCAGGAGGCGAAAGTTGCGGTGAGGGGAGATTGTGCTATTGCACTCCATCCTGGGCAACAAGAGCGAAACTCTGTCTCAAAAAAAAAAAAAAAAAAAAAATTCAGAGACTATAATGCCCACAAGTCCCTCCTTAGGATGCACTAAAGAATGAGCTTTAGTCAGGATGACTGGAGAGACAGCAACAAAGATGGTTGATGAATATTTAATAATACTTGTTTATAGAACGAAGAGTCTACGAGAGATGCAAAGGAGAGACTACAGTTTGTAAAATACAACTTAGAAACACCAGGAAGAGAATGAAAAAACATATCAAAAATTATAAACCATTTTCGGCCGGGCTCAGTGTCTCACACCTGTATCTCAGCACTTTGAGAGGCTGAGGCAAGCAGATCATAAGGTCAGGAGTTCAACACCAGCTTGGCCAAGATGGTGAAACCCCATCTCTACTAAAAATACAAAAAAATCAGCAAAGAGTGGTGGCACGTGCCTGTAATCCCAGCTACTCAGCTTAGGAGGCTGAGGCAGAGAATTGCTTAAACTTGGTAGGTGGAGGTTGCAGTGAGCCGAGATCACGCCACTGCACTCCAGCCTGGGCGACAGAGTGAGACTCCATCTCAAAACAAAACAAACAAACAAAAAACCATTTTCAGTAATTATTTTGGTAGTAGATGATATCATGATTATGGTTATGTTTTGTATGTGATATGGGAAGAAGGAAATGAGTCATTATAAGACAGTTTACATCTCTCATATCTTTGAGAAGCAGGATTCTTGGTATGAAAAAGGGAATAGTAGATATAAGATGGAAGGAGCTAGGCAACTGCTACAGTCCCAAATTTGAATTGTAAAAATCATTATGAACTCTTCTGGTATGTTATCTTAATATACACGTATTGTTCCTTAGCTTTTGTCCACTGAAAAGTCCTAAAAACAATGTCCAGTCCAATAGCAATACATATCCTTATTTTTGTTGTGTGAAATATTACTGCCCATTAAAAAAAACCAAAGCTCCTTAGAGAATTGGCTGATTCCAGGTCTGGGTGGCAAGTTTGAGATGAGTCTGCAATACGCAGTCATTCCACAGAGCAAGAAAAAAAAATTTTTTTTTGAGACAGGGTCTCACTCTGTCACGCAGGATGGAGTGATCACAGGTAACTGCAGCCTCAACCTCCTGGCCTCAAGTGATCCTCCTGCCTCAGTCTCCCAGGTAGCTGGAACTACAGGCACATGCCACCACGCCCAACTAATTTTTATATTTTTTGTAGAAACAGAGTTTCACCAAATTGCCCAGGCTGGTCTCAAACTCCTGGGCTCAAGTGATCCACCTGACTCAGCTCCCCAAAGTGCTGAGATTACAGGTGTGAGCCACCACACCCAGCCAAGGAAACAATGAAAGGTTTGTTAAAAAAGACTTAGGGCGGGGTGAGGTGGCTCACACCTGTAATCCCAGCACTGCGGGAGGCTGAGGTGGACAGATCACTTGTGGTCAGGAGTTCAGGCCAGCCTGGCCAACACAGTGAAACCGTCTCTACAAAAATACAAAATTAGCCAGGCATGTGGTAGGTGCTTGTAATCCACTTACTCAGAGCCTGCAGCAGGAGGATCACTTGAACCCGGGAAGCAGAGGTTGCAGTGAGCTGAAATAATGCCACAGAGCAAGACTCTGTCTCAAAAAAAAAAAAAAAAAGGATTCAGGACCCAACCTAAATAGATTGCTGTTAGCCAATGACAGGATAATTTGATCAAAAATAAGGAAAATAACTGCAAAGGAGTGAAATGAATGTTTAAATTTAAATCCATAATAATTCATCCTCTCCTGCCACTCTCCACCAGAAAAACTCCTAATTGGTCATCTGTTGAGGAGAGATGACCTCAATAGGGAATCAACGTGTTTTAGAAAATTGCTTTTAAGTGGTCCACTAGAATGGGAAGTTTCTTTTTATAGAATAAATATTCCAAAAAAAATGAAGAAGTAATGACAGAATTGAATTATCACCATCTTTAACCCCTAATGAATTAAGGAGCTAAGTCCTGACCAATAATGGCTGTTAATGTAATAAAAAGAACAATAATCAGACATTATGAGTCTCTTGATGAATAACACATTACCCACCACCTATGAAGTAATCATCCCCAAAATAATTAAACCTGACTCTTGTTAACCATTTAGGTCCAACCACCATAAACTTAATTTCTAAATTCTGGTGGCAGTGTTATCTTATTATAATTATACTCCAAAATGAGAGAAATAAAATGTGCAAATCATTTAGTCTGCAATGCTGCTCAAACCGACAATGTCATAATCCTTAACTTTTTTTTTTTGTGGAGTCTCATTCTATTGCCCAGGGTGGGGTGCAGAGGTTTTGAGATGGATTCTCACTCCGTCATCTAGGCTGGAGTGCAGTGGCACAATCTTAGCTCACTGTAACCTCCACCTCCCAGGTTCAAGTAGTTCTCCTGCCTCAGCCTCCCAAGTAGCTGGGATTATACCTGGCTAATTTTTGTATTTTTAGTAGAGATGGAGTTTCACCATGTTGGCCAGGCTGGTCTGGAACTCCTGACCTCAAGTGATCTGCCTGCCTCAACTTCCCAAAGTGCTGGGATTATAGGTGCGAGCCACCATGCCCGGCCTAATCCTTAAATGATATTGAATATCAGGAAAAACCATTGTAAATGACTATGCTGACGCTGCTGGAAATTCTGGCATGTCATTGCTACATCCTGATTAGAAGTGGATTCGGAAATTTTCATTCATCATTAAAAACCAGCAATTATGAATGTAGAATAAAGTAAGAAATCTGAAGTAGAATAGTACAAGATCTTAAAGCTGGAAGAGACCTTACCAACAGTACTTCCTAGGCATTCTAAAGATCTAGTTATCACTGCTAGTCAGTATTTATTCCATTATATTTCTATCCTGGAGATGAGAGGTCTGCAACTGTTATATAAATACTTTAGGGAAAAGGATACATGAGTTTTTCTGGTCAGAAACACTTTGACCACCAGCCTTTAGCAACAAAAAGCATCTTTAGGCCCGATGTAACTCCTTAGCAATTAAAGGCCAAAACTAAGGAATACTGGCCTGAAAATGACAATCTTTATATGCTGATGATCACATACAGTATACTAAGTTGTAAATATTAAGTATTACTCACCGATTCTTTCTCCACTGTGCGATTCAGCATGACAACTGCTTTGGACTTCTGCTGCCAAACCATAAGCCAGAAATGGCAGCATGTGTTAGGAAGTGGACCCTATGAGGAGAGAGGAGAGAGAACAGATGAGGGAAGGAGACAGAGCAAGGCTCCAGGAAGGACTCATCAAGTCTGCTCCTGGCATGTTACAAGACAGACAGTGGATGGGCTTATAAGAAGTAAACCAGGACTTCCAATTCACCTGATTTCAAAAACAGGTCTGTGCCAGTTAGGATTTTTGGTTATAAACGATCAAAACTGACTTTCATTTACTTAGGCAAAAAAGGAATTGTTTAAGATGGCACGTAGCTTTCAGAGTTGAGGACTAGAGAGCCAAGCTTGGGTAGAAACCAAGGCACAGGCAAAGTCCTGCTCCAAAGAAAGTCAACCTGGGACACTGCTGTTGATACTGTCACTAATATCCCCTTGTTTTTGCTGGCACTGCCATATGAAGGTGGCTGTAGTACTGACGTATAATCTATAGGCGAAGCAGAGACAAAAATCACAGGAGTATCTGATTGATCATGTTCTAGCTGCAAAGAAGGTAGACAAAGGAAATTTCTGTTCTCTTCATTTTCTATAGCAGAAAGAGAAGACCTGCCTCCCACACATCATAGAAGATCCATGAGGAAAGAAGTCTGTACCATCAATGGCTAGCCAACCAACTCAAGTTAGCTACAAAAAGATTTCTAGAAAAACTAGGAATCGGGCCGGGTGCAGTGGCTCAAGCCTGTAATCCCAGCACTGTGGGAGGCTGAGGCGGGTGGATCACGAGGTCAAGAGATCGAGACCATCCTGGTCAACATGGTGAAACCTCATCTCTACTAAAAATACAAAACTATTAGTTGGGCATGGTGGTGCGTGTGCCTGTAATCCCAGCTACTTAGGAGGCTGAGGCAGGAGAATTGCCTGAACCCAGGAGGCAGAGGTTGCGGTGAGCCGAGATCGCACCATTGCACTCCAGCCTGGGTAACAAGATCGAAACTCCATCTCAAAAAAAAAATAAAAAGAAAGAAAGAAAAACTAGGAATCATTAAAGTACCTGAACCACAATGAAACCGTTAATCTACAAATGTACAGTATGTACAACCTCAGTGGAAGAATATTGGACAGAGTTTAAAAAGGTCAATAGTCTATGTTACAACAATGCCAAGGGGTTAAAAGCAAAATATTTACATACTTCCAATTGCCTTCACATTTTAATGATAGCATAGGGTAAAAGAAAGGACTAAGAGATGAAAAGTCTATGCACAAATTTTACCTAGTTTTAAATGAGAAGGTTAAAATGAAATGTAGTTTTGCTATACCTAAAATAACTCTGAACATGCATTCAACTTACATGGAATGTGGCAGAGTAGTAACAGGAGCAGAGTCAAGGGTGGGGGCCAGGGCTGCCCAGAGCTTCAGACCCACATGCAACAAGGGGGTTAAGGTGGTTCTAGACTACTTTAAAAAGCATCTTTTTTTGTTGTTTTTCTGAGATGGAGTCTCTGTCACCTGGGCTAGAGTGCAGTGTTATGATCTCAGCTTTCTGCAACCTCCTCCTCCCAGGTTCAAGCAAGTCTCCTGCCTCAGCCTCCCAAGGAGCTGGGATTACAGGCACCCACCACCACACCTGGCTAACTTTTCTATTTTTAGTAGAGACAGGTTTTATCATGTTGGCCAGACTAGTCTTGAACTCCTGACCTCAAGTAATCATTACAACCTCAGCCTCCCAAAGTGCTAGGATTGCAGGAGTGAACAACAGTGTCCAGCCAACTAAAAGCATCTTTAGGCCTGGTGTACTCCTTGATATACAGCAGATACTCAATAAATATTACTTAAATGAATAAATCAAGGTTAAGCTGTAAAAATGCTAAAAGTCTACTGAGGATCCTGACAAACTACAACCTACTATTTGAGAACAGTATTTTCCTCACTCAACAGATTTTTCTATTACTTGATCTGCTTCCAAAACAAAACATACAGTCTAAAGGTAAAAACAGCAATGAATAAATCCCCAGTAAAATGAATGCTCTTTTCTTTCATCTAAAAAAAAAAAAAAATCAATGGATGTAGCAATTTGCCAGTGAGGTTACTCCTTGGTATGTACACACAATCACACCCCATGCCATTCCACTGGTGATTCTAAACTAAATAATAAACAGGAACACCGCTGCTATAGAATAAAGGACACAGTTTGTTTGTTTGTTTTTCCAGGACAGAGTCTCACTCTATCACCCTAGGCTGGTATGCAATGGCACAATCTCAGTTCACTGCAACCTCTGCCTCCCAGGTTCGAGCAATTCTCCCTGCCTCAGCCTCCTGAATACCTGGGATTACAGGCGTGCACCACCAAGCCCGGCTAATTTTCGTATTTTTAGTAGAGATGGGGTTTTACCATGCTGGCCAGGCTGGTCTTGAATCACCTCAGGTGATTCGCCCACCTCCGCCTCCCAAAGTGCTGGGATTACAGGCATGAGCCATTGCGCCCTGCCACAGGTTTTTAAATCAGAGGGACAGAGATTCACATCTCAGCTCTTCCATTTACTAGCAATGCTACCAATTTTCTTCATCTGCAAAATAGACATAATATACCAAGGAGCTGACTTTTAAAAAATACTAATTCTTAAAACTCAGAAGAAAAAGATGTTTGAAATAATAATTTACAAAGGACAATCAGAAGAGCTGGGGTAATAAGCATTTCGCATCTCTAGTTTTCTGTATCCCCCATTCCAAACAACCTGCCAAGTACAAGGGCAAGAGCTAGACTGAGATGCTGACTTGGCTCTCGAACAGCTTGCAACGGAGGCAAGGAGAAGTACTTGTATGACTAATGGACACAGTTAAGTACCACAAAATTATGGGTAAATTAAACCACCAGGTATTAGGGAGCAGGAAAGGCTGGGAAGAAAACTACAGAAGAATCTCAAAAAATGTCCTAATGCAGAGGGGGAATGCAGAAGAATGGGAGGCTGAGGTTGTAGTGAGTTGAGATCGTACCACTGCACTCCAGCTTGGGCAACAAGCGTAAGGCAAAGTGCATGATTGCAGGACATATTTGGGAAAACACAAATAGATCCGTGAGGTGGAAGTGGAGGGTTGTAGTGGGCAACTACACCACTAGAGTGACAGGAACGGTAGCAAAGGGAGACCTTAAAAAGCTGCTGCAATAGGACAAGTGTAATTGAAGAGAGCTCTGAAAAAGGGCAGGGGCAACAGAAGATCAGAAAGAACTTAGCAGATGAAGACAGTTTCAATCCCAATGAAAAAAATAGGAAGGCAGCTAGCTTGGTAAATAAGATACAGAATGTGCAGATTTTGAAATCCAGTAAAAATATCCAATAGAGACCTGAAAAATATGTACAGAAATTCAGGAGCCAAGAAAAATCCAGAGACAGGTTTCTGAGTTCTTGCATTAAATATGCAGGGCTCCTTCAGGACACACACAGCGATAAGAGGTTCAAAAACAATCAGTAGGAGGCTGGGTGCGGTGGCTCAAGCCTGTAATCCCAGCACTTTGGGAGGCCAAGGCAGGTGGATCACCTGAGGTCAGGAATTAGAGACCGGCCTGAGCAACATAGTGAAACCTTGTCTCTACTAAAAAATAGAGAAATGAGTTGGGTGCGGTGGTGAGCACCTGTAATCCCAGCTACTCGGGAGGCTGAGGCAGAAGAATCACTTGAACCTGTGAGGCTGAGGTTGTAGTGAGCTGGGTGACAAGAGTGAGACTGCCTCAAAAAAAAAAAAAAAAAAAAAAAAGTTATTTAACGACTCTGGATCTTCTTAGATTCCTCATGTATAAAATAAAGGCAATACTATTTACCACAGAGGGTTGTCCTATGGTTTAAATTATACAGAGCATGTAAAAGCAGTCATTCTGATTCAAGTTAGGTTTTCAAAAATCTAAATATTATGGTCTATCTTTTGAGTATTTAATGACAGCACCATTAATAAAGTCTTTATTACTTGATGAATAAACAGTAGCTGCGGATACACAAAAATCTCTCCTATTATCTTAGAATGGAAGGAAAGTCATGGTTATATACGGGTGTGGCTGATATGCTCAGAGGCAAGCGGGCAGAAGGCCAAAGGGAGCACAGGGCCTTACAGCTGGACCTCTGGAGCACCTGGTCTCAGCACCCACTCAGGTCCTCGAAGACAACCAGAAACCAGCTAGGGCTTGGCATACTCTCTGAAGATGTATGTGAGGCAGGGGGAGGAACAGAAGAGCCGTCCAGGACCTCTGGTTTCGCCACAGGGTATGGGAAGAGAAACAGAAGAAGCTAAGAAGAATTAGCAGAGCTCTGTGTCAAATACAACATGAGGAACACAATCTGCCCAAAGAACTGGCCTAAGCCATTTCATAAGAATTTTCCTTCACAGAACACATAGTATCAAATATAACTTGGCTTTTATCTTAAATACTCAAAGGTGCAAAACTTTATAATGTCCAAAATTTATTACATCGCCAGAAAAAACTGAAATACCATTTCAATTCCAAAAGAAGTCAAGATATACTTTTACCTATGATTTAAAGCAGAACAACCACAAACACACCATTTTCAGGCATTTGCTTGGTATTGTACTACTTGCCTGTGTTAAGATGTAACTCCTTTGTGCCTCTTCCATGTCAACTAAGCTGGCATTAATATAATCATTCTCAGCATTCTGCAGTTTAACACGACTGTGATCATCTAAAAATAGAGAATGATAAACCACAACTGTCATTTCAAACTTACGGTTTTTAAAATCTCCATATTAATATTCTAGGTATTTAAAAAAGGATAGAAGAATTAAGAAAAATAAATTAGCACCATAGGAGAGCTGAGACAAATCCTAAATTATTCTCTACTTTTTTTTGTAGGGAGTATAAAATGTAATCTTGTTTGTTACTATAGTGCTAGAAGGGAAGTGCTTCTGCTTGTAGCACATTAGCTGTTGTGACTTGAAAAAAATCAACTAGAGTGAAACACAGTAAAATGAATAAAGTACTTACCTTCCTAAAAGTAAAAGGATAATTCACATTCTTGGTGCCTAAGAATTCATCAGTCTACCTACAAAATGATAACTAATCTCAAATCGATGAAACTAGATGTCCAAGATAACTGTATTTCACCCTATCCACTTCTCAAAAGATATTAATTCTACCATGTTTAAATAAATTTTAGCACTGAACTGTGTTTAGGTTAAATGCTGAAAATATTTAAAGACAGTTGGAAGATTCCAATTGTATTCTTTCAAAGACCACTGAAAACACTTCACTACTTAGACTCTGTTAACAGTTCAGATATATTTCTAGTTTTTAAAAGTAAAAATCTTACAGACTAAGAATTTATACTAATTTGAAAGTGAAATACAAAACATGACCTTATACATTTAGATGGGAAAGGAAGAGAAGCATGACACAAGGAGGAAAAGCCCATGCATAACAATAGAATTAACTCGGAATCTTCAACATACAGCTGCTGGATGCATATCACTGAACTGTAAAATGAAAAGTTTAATTCTAGAGAATGCATACTATTACAAAGTTTATCTCAAAGAAATCTATACTAAACAGCCAGTCTCTCCTTACTTTGAAACTAAAAAAATGTTTATATTATCTCCATATGAAAGAAAATGTTAAATGGCTTTAGTTTCACACATCAATTTATCTGAGATGTTTCTGCTGGACTGAACCCAAGACCTCTGTAAATATTACATGTCATTTGCCAACAGGAAAACTAAGATCTTGTTATAGTAAATCACATGTATACTAGTGTTCTCGGAAAGATGATGTCAACAAGCACTTTTTCTAAAGTCATTTTTTTTTAAACAGTTTAATCACCCTTTAACTGTTAATATTATGTGAAATAATAAAAAGGTCAGCAACCTAATTAAGACCACATATCTCCTAGACAACATACCAAAAAAATAATGCCTGGTTTTAAAATACTACACAATTTTAAAATTAAAGTTCCACTAAAATATCACACCAAAGGAATGTATTTCCTCATGTTGTAATCACAGAAAGAACACAAACCAAAGGCTACTCATATCTATTGCACAACTGAAAAGAGCTATTTGGCGAACACGCTGTAGGAATCCGTAAAACCCGGGAAGGTCTACCTCACAGGGTGCTGGGAATCCGGTTACCCCACATGGCACTACCCCACATCTTTGCCCAGCTAAGGAGGAAGTAAAACTGAAGAAAGACCTTTAGCAGTTTGGCTTTAAGAGTATTTGATACCCCACCCTCAGGACTCTGAACTTAAATTCACTGCTGTTTTTTTCTTGAATCTGTAAAATATGCACCAGGTGTTACCTCAATGCTTTATAAGCACAGTAACCATGCACCAGAAAAGCAGAGATTCAGTTCTGGGAGGCAGTGAGGAGGAGGGTGCTACCTGCAGGGCACTGGGTCTGCAGGGCTCAGCCCTGGGCAGTGGCCTCGATTCCTGTCTAACATTAATTTATACAAAGTCAGCAGAAGCAAAGGAACAGTGAATTTTCTCAGAAGTTTTTTTTTTTTTTTTTAATTTTGCTATCAGATAATAAATACTAAAAAAGAAAGGTAATCCTTGGAAAAACTCTATAGCTATTTAGAACTGGCTATAAATGTTGTTTGAGCCTATATTTTCTTCTCAAGGCTGATTAAAAACAAAACTCAAATGCCTACATCACTACATATTATTTTAATTCTTCTGTTCTATTAAGAATAATACGTATGAAGGAAAAATGAAAAATAATTTTAAAAGAAAAAATCAAAAAGAAGAAATAAAACTTTAATATAAATTAAAAATTAATAGTTATTTTAAAACTTTTAAAAGATTAATACTGAATAAAAAGTATATATAACTTTTTGATTTAGAAGAGACTGTAGAGAAAAAACAAATACATCACTTGATTGGAAAAGACTGAATATACACATTACAGGAAGTGAAACTATCAAAGCCTTTTTATGAGAAACTGTGTGTGACTTTATAACTTATATTCTTTAGTGAAGATCACAAAGAAGGGCACTACCTATTCTCCAATTAAGAATCACAACACACAGTTTTGAGTTCGTGAGAGCATATACAGGTTCCCTTACAACTAAGTCACAGGTCTCTTTTCCAGAGACCAGATACCATCAGCCAGCCCCAGATCTGTAAACTAACCACTAAAAACCAAACTTTTGAATTCTTAATGAGAAAACACAGAAAGGTACATCCTTTCTCCTCTTCCAAAGGAACCTCTGAAATGAGATTATCACAACGGCAGCATCTCATAACCTTTGGGCTATGTAAGTAAGTCCCAAAGCCCACAATACTTTACCATAAGCAGTAAGTCTGGCTACCTCCCTCTTTCCAATCTTTTAAAGGATCCAGTAAAGGGAGAAAAATGAAGCTAGTTCAAACTCTTTTGCATGAGATACCACAAAAGCAACCAAACCACACTTCCACAGGAAATCTTATTTTTCAACCTCTACTAGCATCAGTAGCAGAACTATCAAGAAATACACTTTTTTTTCTACAGGCATCATCTGCCTTAATTCTTGTTACTGAGTGAATGAAGAAATGCAATACCCAAATAGAACTGTGGGTTATAAATTGAATAAAAATTAAGCCAATTTCTGAAAGGAGTCCATTCACCTCCTACCCTCAAACAGCGTGTTTTCTGAGAAACAGCTCCACCTCTCAAGAAATGACTACTGCTAGCCATGGCTGTGCTGACAATACAGATTAGTTTCCTCTTTCAATACTGTCATCATAAGTTTTAAAAAAAAACAAAACCCACAGGTTTCACCATATATATCGTTATTGTAAAGCCATCTCCTTTTGGAAAGTTTTCTAGGTCAAACAGAGAGGATGATTTGTATTCATTGTAACTGGTTACAATTCATCCTCAACAGGTTACATCCCGGCAAAGATTAAGAATCCTTAACTTACGGCCTGGCGCCGTGGCTCATGCCTGTAATCTCAGCACTTTGTTGGGGCAAGACGAGTGGATCACCTGAGGTCAGGAGTTCAAGACCAGCCTGGCCAACGTGATGAAACCCCGTCTCTACTAAAAGTACAAAAACTAGCTGGGCGTGCTGGCAGGCGCCTGTAATCCCAGCTACTCAGGAGGCTGAGACAGGAGAATCGCTTGAACCTGGGAGGCGGAGGTTGCAGTGAGCCGAGATCACACCTCTGCACTCTAGCCCAGGCCACAAGAACTAAACTCTGTCTCAAAAAAAAAAAAAAAAAAAAAAAAAAAATCCTTAATTTACAAGTCAGGCAAGAAGACAACCAATTCTAATAGCATAGGCGTGAACCAGTAACTTTTCCCCTTTAGATGTTCCCATTCTCAACTAAGGGTAATCAGTGCGTTTTCAAATAGTGATGTCCAAGAACTCAAAGCATTTTCTAGGTATGTCAACTCTCTTCCATTCTGCAAGTCAAATAGTCGAAGAACAAATATTACGCATTCTCTCTGATAAATTGAGCAATAAGCCAAAACCAAAGCTGGCACGAAACACCAGGTCATCATATACTCCCTCATATTAATGAAGAATACAAATCTTAGTACACATAGAATATTAACATTTCAATTGTTTGTGCTGCAAAGAAAATTCTACTTGATGAAAGATTTCTAACTGACTACAAAACCAACCAGAACTACTGTCTAGAATCATTTGGTGTTTACAACACGTCAGGTTTGTGTGACACATGTCATTGGCTACCTCTCAGTCCTTACAGCTCTATGAAGTGGATATGAAAATGAATCACACTCATCTCACTGTCACTCAGGGAAGTCAAGTCACCAGTTTAACACACTAGAGCATAAAAATGAAACCTAAGTTTGTGCAATTTAAGAGATCACCTATTTCTCACATTCTGCATTCCATGTCTCCCTGATCCATTCAGTTGGTGCCTTTACCATCCTTTCCATACACCCTAAGTTCTTGCTGACATCACCCTTCACACTGCTCTCCATTCAGGTGTGATTTCCATCTCCTTTCTCACATAAACTCCACTTTACTGATGATGCAGTTCATGAGATATCTGCTGAATACTTTCAGCAATCATACACAATTTTTAGTCAACATACTTTAACTTACGGTAAGATAGTATTGTTTGAAGCTTTTAAAAAGGAAAAAAGAAATTCTACTAAGCAGTGACGCTGAGCACTGATAAGTTATTGCACAAAACATTGTGGGAAGGAGCTTAAGCAGTTGCTGCCTGAATAGGCCTAGAGAGATCAGCAGGAAGGAGAAATTCCAGAAGGCACATTGTAAACAGGAATGAAAGGGAATGGCGTAGTGTGCAGGACTGGCAAATTCAGAAAGGCTGATGAGCTAAGTAGACATGTAGGTCCCCAAACACATCAAAGGCAGACCCTGAAAGGCATGTAGGCTGTGCTACAGGCACAGGTTCTGGACAGGGTCCCAATGAAGTTATTTAAAGGACTGATATAAACACATTTGATTTTCATGAAAATAACACCCAGCAGCATGTAAGATGGACTGAACAAGGAGGAAGGCAAATTTATATACCAATACACTGAGAGCTTAATCAAGAGGTGATGAGGCCTGAATCAGGTAGTGGCAGTGGGAATGCAAAGAGTATTTCCAAGGCAGCACCATATAGCCTTGTTAATAAAGTATACATTGTTTAGGAAACATTTGTTAAGTTCAACCTTTTCCAAACAATAGTTTACTGTCCTTGAAATTGTTAGTCTCTCTCAACCC